ACACACACACACACACACACACACACACACACACACACACACACACACACACACACACACACACACACACACACACACACACACACACACACACACACACACACACACACACACACACACACACACACACACACACACACACACACACACACACACACACACACACACACACACACACACACACACACACACACACACACACACACACACACACACACACACACACACACACACACACACACACACACACACACACACACACACACACACACACACACACACACACACACACACACACACACACACACACACACACACACACACACACACACACACACACACACACACACACACACACACACACACACACACACACACACACACACACACACACACACACACACACACACACACACACACACACACACACACACACACACACACACACACACACACACACACACACACACACACACACACACACACACACACACACACACACACACACACACACACACACACACACACACACACACACACACACACACACACACACACACACACACACACACACACACACACACACACACACACACACACACACACACACACACACACACACACACACACACACACACACACACACACACACACAATGTCCCATGTATGCGCCCGTGGCGAGAAAAGCACGCAAATCTACAAATGCACTGGATGTGAACCCACAGATTTTCTCTTATAGCAACGATAGCGGATCTGATTCTGAACGAAACACACACACACACACACACAATACAATCATTGAATGCCCATCCGCAGATGATGGCAGGTCCTGAAAGAACAGGCAGTGTAACGAGTGTTCCAGTAATGGGGAACAGAACTTCGAGTGGCGAGTGAGGTATACACACACACACGTGCGTGCGCGGGCATACACTAAAGTATTCAGAAATAGAATTGACATTGCAGTATTCATTGGTTGGGGAATGGAAAGGAAAATAAAACATTGCTGTAGGTTTTTGTTGTAAGGACACTGGGAGCACAACAGAAAGGTAAGCAACTTGCTTTGAAGCAAAGAAAGTTATTACTCCACGGATCTCAGAAGGAAGGAACGTTCCAGAATGCTGCACTGGCAACAGGCGGCCTGCATGTGCGCGGCCCCTGCAGTCGGTCCAGCTGCCGGCCTTGCAGTGCTGAAAAGAATGTGCAGTACAGCATGTCACATAGTATCGCAGCCTGGACAAATAGGCGCTGGGAAGTCCTAGTTATGTGCTCACCTACACCACGATGCACCAATCTTCTGAGCTACTTTGGCAACAACTTTGTCCACTTGAGACTCCCATGGGCTGAGCCAGTTGTTGAGGGCTGCACCAAGGTGGACGGCAATGACCGCTGATGGCAAGGCAATCCCGGAGTCACTAAGGCATCGTCAACATGGCGCTGAGGCTGGATCGATAAAATCAACCTTTAGGCTTCCGCGGGGTTGACAACGAGGCCGCTGTCTCGAAGCTAGTCAGTCAGCCTGGTCACCGCCATTGACGAACCAGTCGCCACCGCCAGCAGTGGCGGTAGGTTGTGACAAGTGTGGTGCAATATTGTCAGCAAATTCAGTACTCAGGATAAGATGAGTGACAAAGGGAACGTTGTGTTTGATAATATTGAAGTGAACAGGGATGATCACAAACCCTGCGCGTACTCCACCGTGAGTTACAAGAAAATTCCGGACTGGACGACGAGCAAACGCCAACCTGCTACATCCAGCCAGGCAGATACTATTACGATAGCTGCCAAACCAGGTCAATGCCGACCTACTGCATAATGTCAATGTCAAACAGATCCTGCAGGAGAAGACTGGGGTGTTGGCGTCCAGTCACTGAGTGTACAGACACCAGTCACATTTCCTGTGTCTTTTGCAGCATACAGGCTGAGACTCATCACTGTAGAGTCCACTACTGCATGAGTTCTATTTGTACAATACATGGCAGGCGTACACGGTGTGCCTCGCAGGACTGCGAGATGCTGCAGAAGACCAGGTTCGACCTTTCTGGACCGCCATTCACCGACGGTGGGCTACACGATGCTGGAGGAACTATATTCCAGCGAAAACCCAAGATTCCTTTGCTCCTGGACGCTCCGACGTGTTGTGATATCTGCCAGGTGCGCAGTAACTAGTATTTTCATCGCTACAGCGAGGACGACGCCGATCGGCAAACTCTCGCTCACAGCCATCACCAGCCTCTCAAAACCATCAATTGGCATCCCCCAGAGGTATAGGAGAAAGCCAAAACAGCTCTCAACAAACAAAATCTAAGGACGATGGAAAGAGAGCATGTCAAAAAGAAGACGAACAGTATTAAAGGGGAAGTTAAGGCAAAAATTAAAATTTCACCAGTTGTAGTCTTCGGGGTGCTGAGTCGAATGGTCGTGGTCCGAGGAAGCTGAGACGCTCCCTTCCTACTTGAATCCCAATCGAACTCGCGCACTTCCACCGAAACTGGGTGACTGCGCCCTACTAGATGGGGATTTGTATGCAAAATATCACTAAAAGCGCCATTTCGTTCTTATAAAAGCACGGATGACCGCGATTGGCCCATATGTTGTAGTCTTTTGGACGCTGAGTCGATTGGTTTTGGTCCGAAAAGGCTGCGATGCAGCGTTCCTCCTTTATTCCCAATCGAACATGGTTGAACAAGCGGTCACGTGCTCCTGCGTACACCAGTCAGCTGGTCACCGTGCCTGCAGGGTACAACTTACTAGCCTGTTTGACCTTTTTTGGGTGCAGTCCTGTCACTCGAGTTGAACTCGAGTTGAACCTTGGTGTGAAAGTTGCCTGCTGGCGTGGTGACCAGGTGATTTGGCCTTTTCGGACCAAAACCAGTCGACTCAGCGTCCAAAAGACTACAACATATGGGCCAATCGCGGTCATCCGTGCTTTTATAAGAACGAAATGGCGCTTTTAGTGACATTTTGCATACAAATCCCCATCTAGTAGGGCGCAGTCACCCAGTTTCGGTGGAAGTGCGCGAGTTCGATTGGGATTCAAGTAGGAAGGGAGCGTCTCAGCTTCCTCGGACCACGACCATTCGACTCAGCACCCCGAAGACTACAACTGCTGAAATTTTAATTTTTGCCTTAACTTCCCCTTTAAGTTCAAAATTAATGGTTTTGAACACTCGTAGGAGTCGTACCACCAACTACATGTATACCACTTTCAATAAATCGTGACGCCATTTTGTTTTAACATGAATATCGCGGCTTGGCGTGCAGTCCCTGCTCGCTGCTGCACCCGATCGATGTTTATGACGCTCGCTTGTTCATACTTGCTCTGTGACGCCCCGACGGCCTTACTTAGGGCTATGGCCAGTAGGCTTGTGATGATGATAATTATCCGCTGGACCCTAACCAGGGCTCGCCTGAACTGAAGGGTTTGATCTTACCTAACTACTTGTAGATTGTCGCGATTATCCGTACCAAAAACTAGTCTAGCTATCTGTGTACTATGATTTGCCTACCAGAACATGTTCTGGGATGAACACTACTTGTACCCCATTGGTCTTGTATGGGTCGATGTTGATCCTGTTGTTGCTGGTCTAAACTATTGCTCCCCCCCCCCCTCCCGCTACGCAGTATTCACCTCAACTAGCACATTTAGGTTTTTCATCTCGCCAAATTTAAAGGGGAAGTATACCCTAAAATCAAATTTTCACCAGTTGTAGTCTTCTGGGTGCTGAGTCGAATGGTCTTGGTCCGAGGAAGCTGAGACGCTCCCTTCCTACTTGAATCCCAATCGAACTCGCGCACTTCCACCGAAACTGGGTGACTGCGCCCTACTAGATGGGGATTTGTACGCAAAATGTCACTAAAAGCGCCATTTCGTTCTTATAAAAGCACGGATGACCGCCATTGGCCCATATGTTGTAGTCTTTTGGACGCTGAGTCGACTGGTTTTGGTCCGAAAAGGCTGCGATGCAGCGTTCCTCCTTTCTTCCCAATCGAACATGGTTGAACAAGCGGTCACGTGCTCTTGGGTGCCCAAATCACCTGGTCACCGCGCCAGCAGGCGACAACTTTCACACCAAGGTTCAACTCGAGTTCAACTCGAGTGACAGGACTGCACCCAAAAAAGGTCAAACAGGCTAGTAAGTTGTACCCTGCAGGCACGGTGACCAGGTGACTGGTGTACGCAGGACCACGTGACCGCTTGTTCAACCATGTTCGATTGGGAATAAAGGAGGAACGCTGCATCGCAGCCTTTTCGGACCAAAACCAGTCGACTCCGCGTCCAAAAGACCACAACATATGGGCCAATGGCGGTCACCCGTGCTTTTATAAGAACGAAACGGCGCTTTTAGTGACATTTTGCATACAAATCCCCATCTAGTAGGGCGCAGTCACCCAGTTTCGGTGGAGGTGCGCGAGTTCGATTGGGAATAAAGGAGGAAGGGAGCGTCGAAGCTTCCTCGGACCAAGACCATTCGACTCAGCACCCCGAAGACTACAACTGGTGAAAATTTGATTTTAGGGTATACTTCCCCTTATAAGATCACAAATGTTCTTACACCACTGCAACATGATTAAACTGTTACTTTGTTGAAGTCTCACAGAACCTGCTGTCTATACCTGAGGTACCTGCTGTCTATACCTGAGGTACTGGACATTGTTGACAGTGCTGTGGGGTGATCCCTCCATGCATATACATGTAGCTGAAGCGTTTTCCCTACGTTACAAGGCTGGAACGTATGGTTTCATGTACTCATGAAACACACGAGTACCACTTGATTGGTTAGTAACTCATTTTAAAGTAGTTATAGTGTTACAGAGGATGAAAGAGTCTAAACTCAATGTTCTATAGCAGTATAATTATGCCAAAATGTCCACTAGCCAACAGATGCTTTGGCTAGGGAATACTAAGAAGAGATAATTCTATAGCTGCGCATGAGATGGAATACTAATTATCCTGATTTACAGCGGATTGGTCCAATAATTCTGTGTTTGAGGCCAGAGGATTAAGCATCGTTATCCCTGACGGCTTTGATGTTGGCTGTAAGCTGGGCTACTTGGAAATCAACACCAGCCTCCTTCTTGATGGCATCATCCTTGGCATCCCAGGTCTTCACCGTTTCCAGGAAAGGATCAGCGGCCTTCAGGAATGCGGTCTTGGCCTTCTTGACAGCATCCTCGATCTTTCCAATGTCCTTCTTCTTGGACTTGGACACTGCGTTAACACGGACAGGAAGTCACTGACCTTGGAATTCATCTCAGCACTGAAAAGATTACCTACATTGAGCTCCAGTCCGTCAGGCAACTTAACTGTCTCCTTCAGCTTTCCATCCTTGATGGCCTTGGTGATCTGGTCATTCCACGTCTTCATGTTGTCTTTGGCGTCTTTAAGAGCCTTCTGAAGCAGCTCGAGCATTTTCTTTATTCTACCCTTGGCTTCGTAAGCTTCAACGATTTTGATGGTGTTTCGGATAGCTTCCTCAATCATGGTGACAATAATAACAGCCTTAATCACCTGCCTGACGATCTGACTTGCTCCCTGGCCAGCTGCCTCATCTACAGCAGCGTCTACAGCTCCCTCGGCTGCTGCTTCTCCCGCCGCTTCGCCAGCAGCTTCGGCTGCTGCGTCACCTGCTCCTTCTGCTGCTGCCTCTGCAGCTGCATCAGCAGCCGCTTCTCCTGCTGCTTCTGCTGCAGCCTCTCCTGCAGCCTCCGCTGCTGCTTCAGCAGCGGCCTCGGCAGCAGCATCAGCTGCAACCTCACCAGCAATACCAACGACAATACCCATCTTGGCGAGGGGAACTTTCTGGTAAAAATTAATAAGTCAAAACCAACGATGTGTGCTTTAGCATTGGATGCGTCCGCCTTTTATTCGCAGCCGTGTGCACAAAGTCCGATAGGGATATCGTGGGGATGTCGTAGAGCAAGATTATCAACGAGTTACGTCGGAATCACTGGCAGCGGTCTCTACTCCACCGTTCACGTACATGTACGTGCCGTTTCAATGATTTTGTTTGCATTGGCCGAGTCGCTAGGTGAGTCTGCGTGGGTCATTCACGAAACCGGTGCAGGGCCTATTTTGTACAGCAGACTCAAACGCCTACACATGCCATGGCATGACGCAGTATGACTTGTCCTATTGACACGTAGCCTGCCTAATGTTAGCACTCTGACCTACAGATGTACAGGCATACATGTAGTCATTGTCATTAGCCTAGGTTGACAGGTCGTACCACCCACGGCCACGTGCACACACCACCTACATGTATGACCAAGAGTACTCTTGGTATGACACATGATTGTACTGCACTGACATGACTTACATAGTAATACAAGTCATACACTCTACACTACGTCACTAGCTCATACATGTGTACATTGTAATTGTACGTGTACATAATCATTGTACATATTAAATCATTATTTTCACACGACACAGACTAGCACCACACAATCATCATTCGTTGCGACGAATGATGAATGATACGTGGTGCTCTCTGTCGTGTGTAGCTCTACTCGAATGAATATTGAGCACCCTATGGCCTACCGAGCTGGAGGCCGTGAGGACTCTTTATTTTTGAATGATACGTGGTGCTCTGTACTGTAGCTCTGTCGTGTGTAGCTCTACTCGAATGTCGGAATGAATATTGAGCACCCTATGGCCTACCGAGCTGGAGGCCGCGAGGACTCTCATTTGTACAATGTACATTGCACATGTACACCCGTCACGTACATGTACATTACAAATCTCTCGTTTACACTCGCTTTACGCAACTCACCACTCACTCTCTCGTTTATACTCGCTTTACGCAACTCACCACTCACTCTCTCGTTTATACTCGCTTTACGCAACTCACCACTCACTCTCTCGTTTATACTCGCCTCACGCAACTCACCACTCACTCTCTCGTTTATACTCGCTTCACGCAACTCACCACTCACTCTCTCGTTTATACTCGCTTTACCCAACTCACCACTCACTCACTCTCTCGTTCTTTCATTTTGTCTGTCTTCTGAGTAGATACCGCACCCACATTCCGTCACTTTTCTTCTCGCACATACATGTGTACATGTGTACATGATGTACAATTGTATAATCATGTACACATGTACAGTGTACAGGGTGTACACTGTACACTGTACATGTATTCAAAGGGAAGGAGGCGAGGGCGAGCTGAAGTGACATAATTGAATTACTTGAATCTCGGTGGCAGCCTGATGATCCGCTGTCCCTTCTCCGATTCCGCTGCTGACAATAGAAGTTTCCACAGCGCTGGAAGCGGTATCAGCAACCGCCGAAGCAACTGTTTCAGCAGCAGCCAGAGCCGCACCCTATAGCAGCGTCCGCACCGACGTCTTCCAAAACACCCGCAACTATTCCCATGTTTGCGCTGCTTGGCTTGAATTGAGCACACTAGAAACCTCTATTAATAATACAGATCTATATCAATCCCACAAGTATTCTGAGCTAAGCAACCCAGCATACGGCTACTCATACTAGGATGAGTGTTCAGGTGACTTTAAATCCTCTGCTAGATCTGCCAGGCTGTTGGGCCTGGGTCTTCTTTCCATACATGTATACAGTCTGTCAGCTGTCGGTCTAGCATCCTTATCTCTACGTACATACATGTACATGTACATGTATGTACAATGTACGTAGGGTCAACTTCTGCATTAGGAAAACATTGAACATTTGAAGCAGAAAATCGAATACTGTTTTCATCTTGAAGTCCTTCAATACCAATTCCAGTTTCTCTCATTCCTTATCTTTTTCATTGTATACATCCTTCCAATCCTTTCCGCACTGCCTACAACTTATTATTATTATTTTATTATTATGCTCTATTCGCGTTAGCATCAGTGAGCTTATAAAGCTCACATATAGCCTTCGCTTAAGCCGCAAGAAGGAGCAAGTGAGCGCGAGGAAGCGCAATGCACACAGAGCGTCAAAACAAAACAAAAAACAAAAAAAACAGAAAAAAAAGAGACAAGCTGCAAGAAGGAGCAAGTGAATGCGAGGAAGCACAGTGCACATCAAGCATCACAATCACAAAAAAGACAAGATGGAAACGCAAAGTTATGTCCATTGTTGCATTAGCGGCTACATACAACCTTCACCAGGTCCTGCCACTGAGGGCGATCCTGGGCGAGCTGCTGCAGCCTGTTGCAGTCATCTCCATTATCTATATATAAAGGTATAAATTATGTCCATTGTTTCATTAGCAGCTACATACAGCCTTCACCAGTTCCCGCCACTGTCGACGGTCTTGGGCAAGCTGCTGCAGCATGTTCAAGTCATCGCCAGTCTCTAGGGCGGTATTATTTTTCAGCTTTTTGAGATCATTATTGAGCGTTCGCGGGAGCGTTGTTCTTGGGCGTCCCCTAAAGCTGGGGCCGTTACCCCCTAAGAAGTAAGCTCCCATGGCACGTCTGGCTGGGGCTGCCTCTTCCAAACGCAGCACATGACCAAACAGCCTCCATCTAGCATCTCTGATGATTTGGCTCACGGGACGAGATTCTGTGCGTTTATACAGGGAAGTGTTCTTTATTATGAGCGGGTATTTAATGCCTATCACTGTTCGCAGCTGCTGCCTGTGGAACGAGTCCAATTTCCGCTCCTGTGTCCCCGTGAGACTCCACGTGCCACAGTTATAAAGCAGGATTGGTAGAATGAAGCTATTATAGAGGCGCACTCGTAGAGACTCTCTGATGTGTTGCCCTCTCAGCCATATCACCCACATCCGGTGAAGTGCGCTTGTAGCCAACCGCTTTCGTCTGCCTATGTCCTCATCCACTCCAAGCATCGAGCCCAGCTTTATTGTGTGTCGCCACTGTTCCTCTATTCGATCCTTTTGTCTGCTTATCATGGTGTGTTCCGTCTTCCCCTCATTCATCTTCAAGTTCCACTCTGCTAACGAAGAGGATATTGTAGGAAGGCAATCTTTTAGATACTGTTGGTCGGTACTGATGAAGTCCACATCATCTGCATATTCCGACTCTCCGGGCAGAAGCAGCTGGACGTCTCGGTCTGGTCGCGGCGGTAGACGGTTTCGTACTTCTCTTAACGCAGCTTCCAGGTATATCGTAAACAATACCGGCGACAGAGAATCTCCCTGTGGAGTCCCATTGTATGTTTCAAGTGGCTGGCTCAGGATGTTGTTTAGCCGTACTTTAATGGTGGTATCCGTAAGTAAGCACTGAATAAGATGTAATTCGTCCCGGTTCACAATAGTCTCCAGCACGTTCATGAGCTTTGGTCTTGAAATAGTGTCAAAGGCTTTCGACATATCAATTCCCAAAATGGCGATATCTTCCTTTACTCTTTGGCATCTTGCTGCCAACCATCTGTAGGAGTACACAGCATCCGCTGTACTTCTCCCGCTGCGAAATCCGCTCTGGCAGGGCGAGAGGTATTGATCAACTGCCGGCTTAATACGCGTCAATACGATTAGAGACAGTAGCTTGCGTAGTGTATTTAGAAGGGTGACTGGCCGCAAATTTGCAGGAGGACCTCTCTTCTTGCCCGGTTTCGGCAACGGGACCAATATACCATCACCAAGCTGGATGCGTTGATCTTTAGCGTAATTATTGAATAATGTGGCTATGTTACCATGCAGTGATTGCGTCCCATACTTCAGGAGCTCAGCCGGGATTCCATCGGGGCCGGATGCTCTGCCGTTATTTAAACGTTTTGCAGCCTTGGACACCTCCTCAGTCGTTATGGATCGGTTCAGTGGCATTTCACTCCTCTCCAACATAGTTGTTGCTAGTGCCTGGTCGCAGAATATAGTTCTGAAGTGTTCCTTGACCGCTTCCACCGATTCCGCAGGTTGAGATATAATTTTGCCTTCAGCATCCTCAACGATAACCGGTGATTGTTTCTGACGACGGAGTAGCTGGGTTGCTTTGAACATCTTTGCGTCATTCTTTATTCTTCCTATTTCTCCCACTCGTTCATCAAGCCTGCTCGATGCCATCTTGAGGCATTCCCGCCGAATCTGGTGTGAAATGCGATTGCGTTCTTGCTTCATCTCAGAAATCTTCCCAGCGTCTTTGCAGTTAGTGAGATCCAAACGTAACTTGCGTTTTTTCTCGGCTAGCTGTTCAATGGCATTGTTATAGCCATTTGTATGTACTTTTCTTCTTTTTGGTACTATGCCAATGGATGATGCAGCTGACTCCTTCATAATGCCGGTGATCTTCCGGGCATGCTCCTCAACACCCATGTTGTCCATCTCACGGCATGTCAATTCCAGACCCCGCTCGATTGCCGCTTGGTATGCCTCCCTCTTGCTCAAGTCACTGAATTCAGATACACTGAATTTGTCATTGGTCTCCCTTGATATGCATGGCGCATTCAATTTCTTGTAAAGATTGGTCAGGTTGACTTTAGCGAGGACAAGGCGGTGGTCACTCTCCATCTTTGTCCCCGCATATGACCTCGCATCTTCCACCACAGAACGCTCACTATTCCGACAGAATATATAATCGATCTGGTTGTATATGGGTATTGCTGAACCACCGTCTGGGTTGTGACGCCATCCTGTCCATGTTGTGATATGTGCCGCACGGTGTTGGAATGCAGTGTTGCAAGCAAACAGGTGGTTGTCCGACGCAAAGTCAGTCAGAACCTGTCCACTGTAATTGCGGCGGCCTCTTGAGTGTGCTCCGCAGCACGACAAATCATGTCTCCCCGTAGCTGTAACGGAACGTTTTCCAACTTTTGCATTGAAATCACCTATCACGAAAAGCATGGCTGATGATCGAAGCTTCTGAATTGTCTCCAATAAACTGTTGTAGAATTCATCCAGACAGGCAGGGTCCTCCGCAACGCGTCCAGATGTTGGTGCATAAACGTTGATAAACGAGCACAGAGTTCTATCGGATAGCCATAGCTGCAGCACAGCGATCCGGTCAGAGATACTCCAGTATCTGTGAATTCGGGGCAGTAAACTTATTTTTACGGCGAATCCAAGTCCATAGTGTCGAGAGGTCGACGAAAGACACAGGAGTCGATAATTATCAATAATTCCATCGAAGCCCTGAGAGATTTTCGTCTCTTGCAGGCAGCAGAGTTCAGCTCCATATCTTGTTAGGTCACAAATAAGTTGATTCTTTTTCAAATTTGAATTTAGTCCACGAACATTGAAAGTTCCGACGTGAAACAAGCTACTCTTGTTTCTACGACTGCTACTCAGAATACTGCGGGTCCTCAAACCCACCTGCTCATTAGCGAAAGACATAGGCCATAGGGTTCAAGAACAGAACCACCATGGCTGAGAGGCGTCACTCTCTCATCCAAACAACTGCTCCTCATAAATAAAGTAAAATGAGCTTGATTCGCGGCAGCATCACCTGACGTGTTGATAGGCATAATTATGCGGATAATGCCGGCAGAAAAATTGGCAGAATTCGGTACTTTTTCTGGTAAGTTTCATGCATGTTTGGTATGTGTATAAAGAAATGGAGCAGAATTCGAGGAATTGCCGCATGTATGGTTCTGCCAATTTCACTGCTTTTCGAGCAGAATCTGCCACCTTTTCGAGCATTATCCTCACATCCCTACGTGTTGATGAACACATCAAGAAAGGACATTTGCACCGACGGGCCACCCCTTCGCCCATACATGTCACCGTGCATGTACATGTACATCCTAGTGTTGTATGAATACCTCATAAGTCAGTCAGGGAAGAGTGGATGAGTGGATGAGGGGGGGGGGATGAGTCTCCCATAATCAGATTTGTAACAGGCAACTCTTTTAGAGTAATCTGCGTCCAAGAATGTTGGTCTCTCAGAACCATGATCCGTTTCACGTCTCCACGTTTCTTTTGTCCTTATTGATGCTTCTAGACGAGAGGTCATCCGTGAACCAAGTCGCAGTATACGCCAGGGCTCTCCCGTAATTCGCCTGAACTGAAGGGTTTGATCTTATCTAACTAGATTGTCCCGATTATCCGTACCAAAAACTGGTCTAATTATCTGTGTATGATGTGCCTACCAGAACATGTTCTGGGATGAACAGTACCCCTGGGTAGCTAGCTAAGGCTTCCCCTACGTTGCATGACTGGAACGTTTGTGTTCTCATAAAACACACCTGTACCAATTGATTGGTAAGTAACTAGTTTCAAAGTAGTTATAGTGTTACAGAGGATGAAAGAGACTAAACTCAATCTTCTATAGCAGGAGATGCCAAAGTCTTCACTAGTCAACACTGGCTTCTGCAAGGAAATACAAAAACGAGATAATTCTATAGCTGCATAAACGAAAGACAATTCTATAGCTGGTCATGAAATGGAATACTAATTCATGATTCACAGCGGCTTGGTGCGATAATTCTGTGTTTGAGGCCAGAGGATTAAGCATCGTGATCCCTGACGGCTTTGATGTTGGCTGTAAGCTGGGCTACATGGAAATCAACACCAGCCTCCTTCTTGATGGCATCATCCTTGGCATCCCAGGTCTTCACCGTTGCCAGGAAAGGATCAGCGGCTTTCAGGAATGCGGTCTTGGCCTTCTTGACAGCATCCTCGATCTTTCCGATGTCCTTCTTCTTGGACTTGGCCACTGCGTTAACATTCAACAGGGGACCTTGAACAGCGGACAGGAAGTCACTGACCTTGGAATTCATCTCAGCACTGAAAAGATTACCTACATTGAGCTCCAGTCCGTCAGGCAACTTAACTGTCTCCTTCAGCTTTCCATCCTTGATGGCCTTGGTGATCTGGTCATTCCACGTCTTCATGTTGTCTTTGGCGTCTTTAAGAGCCTTCTGAAGCAGCTCGAGCATTTTCTTTATTCTACCCTTGGCTTCGTAAGCTTCAACGATTTTGATGGTGTTTCGGATAGCTTCCTCAATCATGGTGACAATAATAACAGCCTTAATCACCTGCCTGACGATCTGACTTGCTCCCTGGCCAGCTGCCTCATCTACAGCAGCGTCTACCGCTCCCTCCGCTGCTGCTTCTCCCGCCGCTTCGCCAGCAGCTTCGGCTGCAGCATCACCTGCTCCTTCTGCTGCTGCCTCTGCAGCTGCATCAGCAGCCGCTTCTCCTGCTGCTTCTGCTGCAGCCTCTCCTGCAGCCTCAGCTGCTGCTTCAGCAGCGGCCTCGGCAGCAGCATCAGCTGCAACCTCACCAGCAATACCAACGACAATACCCATATTGGCGCGAAGAACTTTGTGTAGGTTCAAGAAGTAAAATAAGTCAAAAACAACGATGTTTTGTGCTTTAGCATTGGATGCGTCCGCCTTTTATTCGCAGCCGTGTGTACAAAGTCCGATAGAGAACAGCTGCTACCGCACTCGGATATCGTAGAGCAAGATTATCAACGTCGGAATCACTGGCAGCGGTCTCTATTCCAGCTTCACGTTTCATGATTTGTTTGCATTAGCCGAGTCGCTGTGTGAGTCTGCGTGGGTCGTTCAGAAAACCGGTGCAGGGCCTAATGCAGCAAACTCAAACGCATACCCATGCCATGGCATGACGCAGTAAGACTGGTCCTCTTGACACATAGCCATATCCCTCTATGACACTGAAATGACAGTGTATAGCAGCACCGTGTGCAGATCAGCTGCTCGTCTAAACCACCAGCTGTTATCAAGACGCCAACCTGTGTGGCGGCGCTTGCCTTGGCAAGCCCCAGCACACCCCCCTGCAAGGGTCATCGACGACGTCAAGCTCATACACAAAGCGGTCGCTCAAGTCAGCAATCGGTAACTGCGGACTGGCAGTAGAGCCAGAGGTCAGGCAGTTGTGTAAACCCGGGTTTACTAGTAATAGAGTATACGACTGCCTTTTACCTGTTGTACAGGTTTTTAGGAATGATAATGCGCGGAAAAGACGAGTGGTGCCACCGGAAGTTTGGAATTATGTGGCACGTGCGAACTGCTTATTCAATGTCGAACCAGTCGCGTTCACTTCTTATTCTAATATTCAATGTCGAACCAGTCGCGTTCATGTCCCCAGGCCAGGCTGTCTTTGATTGGTGAGTGGGAGTTGATAGGTTGCACAGTCATGGTCATCATGGGCCTGACGCTTCTCCTCTGCCACAGCCTCACAGGCACAGGCTCTGGTCGTACCAGTGCGAGAAGTGATGTGTCTCGACTCATCACGGATGAGCTACATGTACATGTACATACATGTACATGATTGTACAATAGATCTTCGCAGCTTGCCATTCATAGTCATACATGTAATTATCATCACAAACTCATTATTTAATCTGGTCTTACTTTACCTATCAACCATCCAAATCCGTTGCACGTGTTGTTGTGTGTGCCTAGTACTGCCTACACATCAAAATAATCATCGGTACTGCACCTGTACTGTATTACACGTAGGAAGAGCTCACGTATCAGGCTCTTCAGCAGCAACTTTGCGAAACGTCACCAGAGGAGAAGGAACGACAGTTGTACTTGTGAAACGTTTCAAACATGTAATGCTCTTGTTGAAGGCACTGAAGTGTGTGATCTTTCGTAGTGTTCTAGAATAATTATTATTATCTCCGACTCAGAGGAACCTTTCTGTTCTGCAGTGCACTCCTTACTAGACCGACATGCACGTGCATGTACATGTCGGTTTTGGCAGCTGCTCTGCTTCCAATTATTCACCTTCAATTCTATTCAGACGTCTGAACAGCGCAGAGGGACGGCGGTAGATTAGAAAGGACAAACAGTGCCTAATTTCGCTCGTCCAGAGTGTATCTGTTTACTGGTGCATTTGCGGCAGAGCAGGGGGCCTATTCACCTACAATTAGGTACATGTTACATGTACCTACATGTACATTCAGATCGATTTATAACCGGTTAACCATTTAGAACCATGGCCTATTCAGCCACGCATAATAGCCTCGTAAACAGAGGTACATATTTTGCTACTAATGGCTATTCAATGCATTGGCCATTGTGATCCAATTCGCCGTAGCAGAGTGAATAGGAATTGGATATTCAATGCAAACCTGCACCATCCTGTGATAATCAGTGACCTGCTGTACTGTAGTGCGAATGTTGTCGTGTGTTCCAGATTCAGCATGCTACTGTGTCGTACTACATTGCAGTATTGTTATCAATGATCAATGTCAAAAATAATGTCATTGACATCTTAATTGTAGTGCCCTGATGGAGTGCTGTCATGTGCTACGCTGACGCATGCTCCAGCTGTACAAGGATATACCGCATATTGTGGACGTAAACATTGTGTTATAAGAATGTGTTATGATATGGGGATGTGAATGAGATGAGTGAAGGGATTACCACGCGAAGAGTAGGCTGTTGTCAGCGATTGTATTGGAGAGGAATCTAGCTACTCAGCGAAAACGAAAGAAGAAGGCATATTGTTAAGACCTGTCGTCATCATGGCGATGTTGGTGATGGCAAACACGCCCATATAATACTGAAGTCGTACACAGGTTGCAGCATGTCCTGCCGTTGCATTTTCCATGTCAGCGCACTGGATATGTGTCAGGAAGGAAATAGAGCTTGCGCAGTGCTTGTTAGATTGCTGCTAGTACATACAGATATGAAGGAGCCTTCCCTACTAGTACAATGATAAGTAGCATCACGGTCTAAGCCTTTGTACAAAGCCGGCTTGCAATAGTGCACTAGCTGTCAACAAAGATACCTTACAAAGGGATACGTCATGCTACATACACGTACAGTGTGTAGTTATATCGGTTCCCACCCAGATCCGGGACTCCCGGGGACACCATTAGCATACATATTGTACGTTGCGTTCTTAGATTCTTAGGTTCCAGATTTCGTGCACAGCTCCATCTTGTGTGCTGGAGGTATCATGAGACATCTGCACTGGCTTAGGCCTGAACCTAATCCTTGGTAATGGTTTTGACGCGCATGCACGGCTCCCCCGATCATTGCTGGATTCACATGTAACTGGAAGTGGAAGAATGTCTGTTGTGTGTGAAAGGTATCCGGATGTCAATTATTCCAGACGTAAACAGCTAGACCCCTCTGTTGCTTGGACGTGTGGTGCGACAGCAGATTGTGTTGTCCCTACTGAACCCCTTTTTCCTGCGAACCCAACCAAATGTACAATGTAGGAGAAATTCAAACGGATCCAGACTGATCATAGTCAATCATGCCGCCCATTGAAAGCACCGGGATGCTTGTTCAACGTGTCCGTAAAACAAAAAACGTGCCAGTATCTGACTGACTTTTCTTCCTTCCCTAATTCACTTCACTTCTCCCAGCTGTCTCCCACGAAGCAGTTCCGCCTCATGCTGTGTACAATGTACGTTAGCAATACTAATTATTCAAGGTTAACTTTTCAAAACCATATTTTCTTACAGAATGATGCTAGCGGTACAGCCAGGACTAGTATGTACATGTACGTATAGCAACATTCCCACTCAGTGAGTGCAGAAGAGCGCACATGCAGGGAGGGGCACTTACACGTGTTGAGTCAACTCCAAACAGACCAAAGAGAAGAACGTACTTTAATTTCGGAACTAACTTTTAGGTGCTCAAAATGTTTGGTATGAGCGCAAAAGGCCAGTCCCCTATTGTATTACTTGTGTTAGTGTTTGTCCGGTTATTGAAATTTTAGGTATGAAATACATTGTAGATGTACATGCGCGGAAAGTACCGAAAATGATAGTACACCACCAATGTGTGAAGTGGCAGTACTCGCATCATGACGAGCCCGTACCGTACTGTAGTCTAATCATCTAAACATTTACAGAAAGTTCTTTTTCGCCTGGGACATCATTGTTGGTACTGTGATAGAGTGATTAGCAGTACAAAAATGAAACACGTACAAAGTATCATCTTCCCACATGCTGTAAGCAAAATTTGATCGTATTGGGAAAATGCAATACCAATTGTTCACTCGTCAAAGACCCGAATTGCGAATGGCAGAGAGGTTTTTCTCGAACTGCGCCACCTTGAAGTCAATGCCAGCCTCCTTCTTGATTGCATCATCCTTCTTGTCCCAAACCTTGATGATTTCCAGGAATGGCTCGGCTGCTGTGAGGAAATCTTCCTTGGCACTCTTGACGGACTGAGTAATCTTGTCTTTATTGTCCTTCTTGTCCTTTGTTGTGGTGGACATCTTGAGGGTGGCTCGGCGAGCTTTCTCCAGAAATTCAGACACCGTGCTGTTCATCTCAGCACTGAATATGCGACCCACGGACACCTCCTCGCCGTCTGGCAATTTCACTGTTTCCTTTAGCTTGCCAGCCTCGATGGCCTTGACGAGTTGGCTGTTCCATTGGTCGACGTTCTCTTTAGCCTCGCTCAGTGCTGTTTGTATTACTTCCAGTGTATCAGTCACAGTGCTGCCGATTTCAATACTGGAAACATAGCTGAGGATCTTCTGTAACATTTCTTGCACTAGTTTGACAATGATGATGCCCTTGACAACCTCCCTAACGACTACACTTCCACCTTTTCCCACGATCTTATCAACTGCCGCTTCCAGTGCAGCGTCTATGGCAGACTCTCCAGCCGCCTCTCCTGCAGCGTCTGCTGCTGCTTCACCGGCTCCTTCAGCAGCGGCTTCTGCCACAGCTTCAGCGACGGCCTCTGCTGCAGCATCAGCTGCTGCCTCAGCTGCGGCCTCTGCTGCCGCCTCTCCTGCTGCCTCTAGAGCTGCATCTGCTCCAACTTCTCCTAGGATGCCGACGACGATGCCCATCTTCAGTCTTGCCGGTAGTTACAGGGGTTCAGACGAGCCTAGCGTGGGTGTTTTGGAAAGAAATTCTAAATTTTGTTCAGCGCCTTGGTAGAACGGACACTGACGAGAACACAGCAGCTGCTTGTAAGGACATCTGAAAGCTGCATATCGGCTACGAAAATAATTCATTCTGCGTTTAGTGTGGACTACGGATTACACTACGATGATCAGTACCGTAACGGTAAACTCTGTGTACATGTACCTGATACATTTTCGACATGTGCAGCAGTCTCGTGCAGACGTGCACTCAGCGGCGAGGATTACAGGCGCATGGACATGTATGCGATTACGTAGTAGTCGTATTACACAAGTACAATGACGCATTGGTTATTTTGTGTGGATTGTATTCATTTCAAGACATCATTTCAAGACATCATTTCAAGACATCATCTCTGCTCTACATTGACTACCCCACACTGGCCACAGCTTTGAACGATGATGAAAGAGAAGGAGCGTGCAAACGCCTACGATGAGCATGTACATTGTAGATCTAATCTTCTGCTCCTGTTGAGAAAGACGTGTCAATCTGACAATGTCCACCTAGTACCTGGCCCTGGTTCAGGTCATGACACCTGCTAATGAGAACAACCTGATCGAGGTGACAGAGGCATTCACACAGGTGACACTGAATGCCAGGTATAAAGCACAAGTCCAGCCCTCTATGGAAGCGCTTGACAACAACTAATACTTTGCTGTTGTTCTTCTACTAACTTAGACTAAACATAAGGTCTACAAACAATGTATTAGGACGGGTGAAGTATGCTTAGACAGTTAGAGTAGACCTGAGCGGGACACCGTACACAGTCACCCTGTCCCTGCTTTTGCCAAAATATGCATCGGAATTCACTGTACACGTACTGACTGTACATGCCAACATCGCCACTACATGACTGTACATGTACATGTACATTGTACGTCATCATTCCCTGGGTAGAAGGTCACTGCGGAAACACACGATTAATTTTGAGTTGAGTGGGAATTATCCGGGAAGATCACGGCTTGGCGCCTCAGACCAATTTAAGCTTCATAACAAGAACTCGGACAGGCATTACCTGTGTGCTGGCACTGGAATACAGTAGAGTTTTGTTGTTGTTGTACTTGTAGACAATAAAAGTGTGAAATGGCATTGTCTCACTCTCAGAGAGCCGGCCGGATCACTCGCACGGTAGCACCTACAGCATACATGTACATGTACATGTACATGTACATGTACATGTACATGCACTATGCATGGTACTGTTTTCTTTTAGTGTTCCATTCCACATAATTTGCTCACAATCAGAGTCACATGCTGTTATTGTCGTTTTTGACTTTGAAAGTCTGGTCAGGAACGTCTTTCATTCTGTCCAGACCAGCCTCCAGGGCTATACAGGCTGCAGTGTACGTATACAGTCATGTACAGTGTAAGTCTAAGCTCTAGACTAAAGGAGACAGACAGTGGTCAGGTTTCTAATGGGTACATTTACATTCCCGCTCTGTACAAAATATTTCCTTAACACCAGGATAGCTTGGCAATACTGAGTATCACCACACATGTACATGGACATGTACATGTATCTTGCACTGCCCACCGCCCTAATAAAGGCGTGGGTGTTCTACTTTACACCCATGGTCGCAAACCGTTTCTAGCATCTTTTTCGCAAGATCGGAACATCCTGGAATTGCCTTGGCTTTGGCCAACCTTCCCTCAACGGGATCTTTCTCCGAATTAAAGCAGTTTTTTGTAAGCACACACTACAACATCGCTACCCATGCATGATTTATCTGCAAGTCAGTAGAATAACTTCTTTTCATCCTACATAGAGAGGGAATAATAGTGTTCGTATAATTTATACAAATGTAGGTTTCTTTTCCAGATTATGTGTTCAATCTTACACATCAGTTGAGTGTTCTACTTATTGCCAACAATCCTTTTTGTTTTCTTTTGATTTGGTTCTTACTGCATGGGTATACGCAATGGTCTTTAACTCTTTAACCTTTGTGAATATACCCGTGATAAAGAATTCCCATATCCTGTATTTCATCCTAATCATGCTACACAGTGCTACACGGTGAATACCAAACTCCGTGCATACCGGTATGCTCACTACAAGGCTAACGGAAGTGGTGTGGATTACTCGAGTACTAGTACATGCACAGTAACAGGTACAGGTACGTAGTGTAGACTAGTAGATCTACCAGTGAAATTAAATTATTTGTAGGCTTTGACTTTGAGTAGGTCGATTTTACGGACAGCTGCGATACTAGTATGCGCGAGCTGCCTCTGCGGCAGAAATCTGTACTGGTAGTGGTAAACAGGAAAAGTGTTATTGCTTGTAGCAGGCACCACATTGAACTGGATTACTGTGACCTGTGACCGCTGGGCAGCGTCTGAGCAGTGAGCACTCTTGAGAACATAATTACATCCGGTAGTTTATACCCGTGTATGAATCCCCAGGCACATGGCCCAAGGGTTAGATAGGGCTGCTGTGTTCCCCTGTGCACAGTTCAAGCTCTTCTCATAATAATGAAATTAGCCGTTTGCCGTTAGTGTGCCCAGAGGTCTTTGGAAGTACATGTGTATAACTAGTTGTGATTGCAGAGCACACAGTAAGGAGAGATCGTAGAATACTACTGGATGCTCTGAACTCTACGCCACAGGCATTCCTTGTTGTTTCAGTTATGAAGAAGTCCAGCCGAACATAAAAGTAAAATATGGGCCGGTACAGTCATGGCACATGACTCATGAGCCTCTTGTACGGGCACTGGACAATTAGAAGGCAGAAGTTGCTTTTCTCGTTGCTCTCCACTGTTGCATCTTTGTACCTCCCCTCCCATCCCTTCAAGCAACAACAATCGAGATGGTCTTGTAGAGCAAAGCTATGTGAATGAAAAGCAACAAATTGCGGTGTTGTGTCGTGTGCGCGTGCGTGTGTGTGTGTGTGTGCGTGTGTGCGCGCGCGTGTGGGGGGGGGGGGGGGCAGGATCCCAGTGGGTAAACCAGGTCTTTCAATTTCCGGGGAGGACAGGATCATGTTCACAGCAGCAGCAGAAGTAACAACACAGGGCACGTGACTACTAACGTCGTTTATACACATGTTCATCTTTGTCTCCCCGCCGATCACACAGGCAAGGACAATAATACATGTATATGTACGTCTAGCTTTGGCAACGTGGACACGTACACGTACACGTACACGTACACGTACACGTACACGTACATGTACATGTATCACTAAAGGAATAATTCAATCAGTATCATTCTGTTGAAGGTTTGCTGGTTCGATGAAAGAGGTCGGCCGGAACTGAGTGCGGACGATGGTGAGAGGTTGGATCATTGTGTTGACGCAAAGACCGGTAACGCTTCTATGCGTGCCCTAATCGCCTTGTTTCATAAACAATTGCCAAATGTTTTGGGCACTGTTTCGTTGATATAATCTGTTTAAAGTTTGACCTCTCATTCACCACCATCTACTGGATGTTAATGTTCCCAAGTAAGAATGATGTGCGTCACACATTAGATAGCAGGAGTGGTAGTGCTATTACAGAATGTGCAGCCCGTGTTGTTTAGAACCAACTTCCGCATGTGACTAGTCGTCCTGTAGTGTATGCTCTGAAACAGTAAGTGATTAGTTTCAGTCCGTTCATCAGATTCTACAACCTCCTACTTCGAAGCTCCCAGCGGAAGCGCATGGATACTGGACTGGAGACAATGCTCATTCGCGCGGTGACTCTGGCATTCACTAGTAGCTAGTTATCAAGTAGCGTGAGTTCGTTGTTCGCAGATTTTTCTAAACATGGCAATACTTGTGTGCGTGCGTGTGTTTGTGTGTGGATGTGCGCGCTTGCGACTCACGAAACGGAAACTCTCCCACTAGCAACACTGTGATGCATGGCCAGAAGTGTGAATAATGCACGGCGTGGTTTCAAAAGTGAAGAAGCATGGTTGTATTATGTACATGTACCTTGTGGACTACACATCATATGAACTGGCGAAGAGTGCAGGAAGTGCCAGGAACCAATCGAAATACAATCAGCCATGTAGTTTCTTGTTTGGATATCCTGAACCACACAGACGTAAGTAATTACAACAATGAGTAGTGAGCTGAGAATGTGCCCAGGGCAGTATGCTTTTGATGCATGCACGTTATCTGCGTCGTGAAATGCGCAATATAATGGTCTGTTGCGAGAGCCTTGGGCTTGGGCTAGGACTCTGGTTTTCTGAGTTAGGGCACGCCAGATGAACGCTGCGTTATATCTGTTTTAATAGTGACATCATTTGTATCCAGATACGATTAATTCACTCCTCCGTATAACCATAACAGGTACTAAACATATCAGTACTATGCACAGGCCATCAGTCCAATCTTCTCACATCCACAGGCCATCAGTCCAATCTTCTCACATTTGAGCTGCATACAACATGTACAAAAAGTTCGTAACTCTGGGATCCATCCATGCTTCAATTGCCCGGATCTAGAGCTTCCTGGAAAGCGATGAACTAAAGCACAAGTCTCCACAAGGTCGTAGACCAGCTATAGAGCTAAGCGACTCTGTCCAAAGGTCATAGCGCAGTCGCTCAAGTCAGAGAAACAGAGCTTTCACCCGCCATTCGAGATGGTATCATCAGTATCATCAGCATAGAGGTATGTTTCCGTCCTGTTGCCATCAGGGATTGATCTCGGGAGGGTATTAATGTACAGGAGAAATAGGATGGGGCCAAGGTGGGAACCTTGAGGAACTCCCGCCGAGATAGGGGCGATGGGGGAAAGGTCTTCGCCAACTTTGACCTGTAACTTGCGAGCTTCAAGGTAACCTGCAAACCAAGTAGTAGCCGTTGGGTTGCATAGTGGTTGTAGAAGGGCCAGAAGGGTAGAATGCGGGACGCGATCAAATGCCTTGGCAAAATCCAAGAAGACCACATCATACTCCTGGCTGCTGTCCATGCTCTTGGCGGCGCTAGCCGTTAAATGATCATCACACTGTACTGTACTACTGATCAAAACAGCAGCGTCCTGGTAGAGTAGCGGCGACTGTGGTGCATGGCTTTACAGCTGGCCATTTTCTTTTGTATAAATTATTCCTTGGCTCAGCTGTCCGAGTCCATAGCTGTAAAAAAGGTAAATAATAAAATGGTCTGTTTGGAGAACCTTGTCCTACCACTCTGGTGTTCTGAGTTAGGGCACGCCAGATGAACTCTGCTCTTTAATTAATAATGATGATGCCGATTGTATCAAGATAAGAGTAATTCACTCCTCCGCATAACCAAACCAAATACACGTCAGAACAATGTACAGGACATCAGTCCAATATTTTCAAATTTGACTTACAAAAGTCATTGGTAGAGGAGCTACAGTCAAGTACCAATAGTCCTCTAGGCATGCAGAGGTTGACTGCCGTCAACAACAAACTTTTAAGAAGTTGCATGGCGCCAGTGTGGTAGCTGACACATGCCCTGATCTGGCTATCCCAAGCAGAGATCATCACTGACTATAACACCAGCGTTCTGCTAGGGTGGCGGCGACTGTGGTGGCCTTACAGCTGTCTCGCTGGCGTCGTGAGGGGCATGAATGACAACATGCCTCTGATTCTGAATCAATGGACGGACACATGCGTGTTGCCTGATATTGGCCGGTAGTTTTCTTTGTCAACAGCTGAGATTGAGAAATACAAAACGAAAATGCTCTTTGTCCTGAGCCTACAAGTACATGTGTGTACCTGTGACAGTCAGTGGCGATCGCGGAGCTTGCTGACTGCTGCCTAACATCTGGCGGTTGGTTTTGCCGTCACTCGTCAATGGATCATGTCCCCTTTGCTAGGGTCACCAGCATGCCCCAAACAGCCTTACTGTACAGTCATGTATATGTATGTCCAGTTTACAGTGGCACTCTAGAATAATAGCACGTCGTGCAATGTTCAACTAACAAACACCATTCAATGTCAACCCACTTATCACTACTAGTACAAGTATGCGAAGCTTTAGAGCCAAGACACAATGATTATGTGTGAGCGTGCGCGTGTTTGTGTGTCACTGTGTAGTGTGTGCATACCGACCCCAATAGAACTCAGTACGCCAGAACTAGTGCAGTCCTGTACATGTGCAATCATGCAGGCTTCACCTGAGGTTACGCGGCCGGGATCGGGAAGAGTATATATTTTAGCTTTCATGCGCCACTCAGACCACTTATTCCCTTCGTGCTCCCATCGCACAATCTAGGAGGTATATTGCATTCTTCATTTGACAAAATAAACATGGGTATTGTTGTTGGAATTGCTGCTGAAGTAGCCATCGAAGCAGCCGCTGAGGCAGCAGCTGAGGCGGCTGCTGAGGCTGCAGCAGAGGCAGCAGCCGAAGCGGCAGCCGAAGCAGCCGCCGAAGCAGCCGCTGAGGCGGCTGCCCAGGCAGCAGCTGAAGCAGGTGCCGAGGCTGCTGCTGAGACTGCAGCAGCTGCAGCGGCCGAAGGAGCGGCCGAAGCCGCTGGAGAAGCTGCGGCGGAAACAGTAGCCGACGTGGCAGCGGAGTCTGGTGAGGAAGCAGGTGAACAAGCGGCAGAAGAAGCTGTCGATAAGGCCGTTGAGGAGGCTGCCGGTAAGGGGGCCAGCAAGATCATCAAGCAAGTTATTAAGGCAGCGATTGTCGCGTCCATGATCGAGGAACTCATCCGAAACACCATCAAGATAGTGGACACTCTGGAAGCCAAGGACAGAATCAAGACGATGCTCAAACTACTTGACAAGGCCATGAAAGATGCCAAGACAAATCTGAAGCAGTGGAATGATCAGATCACGGCTGCCATCAAGAAAGGTAAACTGAGAAAAGTCACGAAAATGCCTGATGGCCTCAAACTGTCAGAAGGACTTCTGTTTAGTTCCGAAATGAACAGTGGAGTGGAAACCTTTCTTGCCGCCATTCAACCATCCGTTATCAACGTAGCAGGTGTGGCGAAGAAGAAGGATGTTGGCAAGATTGAGGACGCTGTCAAGAAGGCCAAGGATGCTTTCATGAAGGCGTCAGGTCCATTCCTGACCACAGTGAAAACATGGGATAGCAAGGACACAGATATCAAGTCGCAAGCTGGCATCAACTTCCAGGTTGCCCAACTGGAGGCGAACATTAAAGCCATCAAAACGCACGATGCTTGAACAATGTCCCCCGTCCTCCACGTTCACAATCATCCATGTCTGTGCCTGGTACATAATGTGGTTGTGGTCTTGCTGTGATAATTGCAGCATGCCGATTGACTGTATCATACAGAGCACACTTTGTCTTTGTATCCATACGTTTGAGGTAGTGCTGTCTTTGTATTCAAAAGTTTGAGGTAGTGCTGTCTTTGTATTCAAAAGTGTGAGGTAGTGCTGTCTTTGTATTCAAAAGTTTGAGGTAGTGCTGTCTTGGTTTCACTGCAGAGTTACTGTTGCATGTGCACCTCAAGGCAGTCAAGCGTTTCGTACTGTGAATGTCACGTGATCCGTTGGCATCGTGATGCACTATGAAACAGGCTCCTTTCAATTTATCAAAATAACTTGTCATTAAAATCTCACCCTGAACTTATCCTTCCGCAGCTCATCTGCTTCCGTGTTCTCTCTCTAAGTTTGTGTCGGGGGAAGTGGGCAAACCGAATTTTTGTTGTTGGCTTTTCAGAACAGGCCTAATATAATCCTAAACACCATGGCCCTACGAATGGATAGAAAACAGATGCAGGAAAAACGGGACGAACACGTACTGGTACTGGAAAATGGCAAACAAAAATATGAACATGTGCAACGTTGCGAATATAACGCTTATTGGTCAACGGTCACCATCATTGCTCTTACGATGCCTCGCCTGGCGAATTATTGGCAGTCTTTTTCAATACACATTACACACCGTGGTTGGTGCAGCTGAGAGCCTGAATGGAATGGAAAATGGAGGGGTCAACGAGGGCAAGGAACATGCTACATGTTTGGATTACTTTGAGCTGCACATTATGACAGTATGATGTGTGAGTGAACGTATGGGCAGAATCCTGAACAGGGACCTACTGAGTACTGTACTGTACTGTACTGTACTGTTAAGTCTGCACATGTACGAAGTACACGAAAGCAGAACAACAGGGATTGAAAATATTTCTCGTAACTCGGAGTTTTGTGTTCATAAACACTCATCAGGCGATAACACATAATGATGCTATTCGCTAGTTATATAGGGTAATTGTAATGTAGGCTAATGCAGTGCTGCAACCACGAAGCTTGAGGAGATAACATCAGCGCTGGAATACACTGTGCGGAGTGTGAGTGCAAGTGTCATGACTGAGGTATATTGCTATAACCAAGATGGGAGATACATGTAGAACCGACGCAGGAATCAAGACAGGTTTCAGTGGGAGTTGTGTCACGCCAAAGGGTTGGGTAGTCTGTGATACATAGCAGATACCAATGTGGATAATGGCGCAATATGTGGTTGTGTGTGTGTGTGTGTGTGTGTGTGTGTGTGTGTGTGTGTGTGTGTGTGTGTGTGTGTGGTATGTGTGTGTGTGTGTGTGTGTGTGTGTGTGTGAAAACACGACATATCTCATCATGTGACCCCAGTGTAGTTTGCGAGCATGAAGTTGTTGGAATGTCTACACTTCGAGATGAGCTAGCTTCTCTTGTTGAGGCATGTTGCTCTATCCGCGGTTATGATCCGGAACTTCTCCGAGAGGCAAAGTTGGCAACTCTTGCTGATGTTGCTGTAGGCTCGTGATCGTTCCGAAATACTCCACTGGATCGAGTAGTCTTCCCGTCTCTCCTTCAGTTTCCAGACATACTTGGGTTAACATTACTGCTTTTCACTTCGGCTTTGTAGACCAGCTGCTGTGTCTGGCACTTTCCTCTCATAGGGCAGTCAGGCTTCGCTCGGCAGCTGCATGGCAGGTCTTCCTGTTGTGGGCTGAGTAGCTTGTTATTGTGTCCACGGATGATGGCGGCTACATTCGGTAAGCAACTGTAGCTCACCTTCACCGAGTTCTTGTTGAAGATCTTGTGAAGCTTTGATGCCGCAGGGAAATGCTTTGCCCCTAGGATCAGAAATGACCTGGCCACATTCGTTGATACATTTCTGCTAAACGGAGGGCTAAACCAAATTACCTTCCTTCTTCTTTTCTTATTTCTTCCTCTTTTTGCCTTTTCGGTGTACTCCAGCATTTCAGAGTGACCGCTACTGGTCAGGGCGCTCCTGTATACCGGTACTGCCTCCCGGAATACATCACGACTGGATGATATGTCGGACAGCCAGCCTCCTTCGAATGGATTTGGCATGCACGAAGTACTGGTCATTGTGTGCAGCTAAACGCATTGGTAATGATTATGTACATGACTTGTTGAACTCGGATGGTGAGCTAATTAAATAATTATGGTGAAACAGGAGAAGGACGGTTAGGTTGGTGGACAGTTCGTCATAACTCAGTTAGTCATAACTCAGTTAGTGGTAGATTTTTCTTTTGACCAGACGAGACCAGACGACGCTTGCAGACACCAGTCACACTCCACAACAGCTAGAAGTTGTTCCTGACAAGCCTTATTTCGTTCCATTATGGTGTTGGGAACTCATCAGAGGAGAGGTAGATGTTGAATGAAATGGGTCGAACTAAATGATATTGTTTTATGGAAGATATTGGCGCAATACGAGTACACTCAACGAACTGTCATGTGTGACAAATCAACACGAATGAAATAGTGTAGAACGGAGGTGTTATGAACACTACCGACACAACTATCACAGGTGCTAAGTCAATCACAAGGAGAAAGAGAGGTACACAGATTAGGTTGCGCTAAAAAACTACACGTCACAAAGTATACTGACGTGGTGACAAAGATGGGTGTAAAGTAGGAGCCGAGTGGCAGCCAACAAATCATATTGGACGTCTAACGTCACATTTGGAACGAAACAAAGCTTGTCAGGAAAAACTGCTAGCTGTTGTGGAGTGTGACTGGTGCACTGTTCGTACTGGTTTCTGCAAGTGTCGTCTGGTTTCGTCTGCTCAAAAGAAAAATCTACCACTACTATTTGACGGACCTACTGAAGATGGCATCACCATTATTATAACTCAGTTAGTCATACTTGTAACTCAGTTAGTCATAACTCGTAATATTTTGTCCTACATAACTTGAAGTTGATTGTTCCAACAAGGAACACACGCTTCTTGCCGAACTAGACACTTGACTGACTCACGACTGCCATCCGGAGCACACGAGGAGCACGTCGCACCTTCCACTCGGCAAACCTGCAAGAAAGCACCACTCCCTGCTCAATACACGGTGTTTCGGCTGCTTTTCAGGCACAATCTTCCTCAGCCTACTCAAGCTCAATTGATGAGGGGTGAATTCCCCGAAACACCGTGTATTGAGCAGGGAGTGGTGCTTTCTTGCAGGTTTGCTGAGTGGAAGGTGCGACGTGCTCCTCGTGTGCTCCGGATGGCAGTCGTGAGTCAGTCAAGTGTCTAGTTCGGCAAGAAGCGTGTGTTCCTAGTTGGAACAATCAACTTCATGACTATTACCGCCGAAGTCGCAACTTCTAAGTTCTACATAACTTGATTGATTTTATTTGGATTCGCGAGACCAAACGAGCAGGAGTGCTCAATAACAGGGTAGCGAATGGTTGAGTTGTGCTCTGTGACAATCATTGAATGTAGTGTGTGCGTGGGGTGGTGGTGGTGGTGGTGGTGGGTGGTGGTGGTGGTGGGGGGGGGGAGCTGCGGAAGCCCAATACAATGTAAGGGGATGTGAGAAGAGAAGGCCAGCGGAGAGTCGAATTCAGAAGAGGGTGGAGAGAAGAGCGGAAGTACACGGTTACTGCGCAAATTCAAATAAACCAAACAAACAGCAAAACAAGTACACAGCTCACGAGAATAAAGAGGACTGGAGCACAGAATTGATCTGCTGAAGTACACAGCTGAGGAGAATAAAGACAGGAGCACAGGAAGGAACGGGAGGCAGTCTACGAAGTGGTGGTACTATTGGTGCACGCACCACGGTACATTATCACATTATCGGCTTTGCAAAGTTCGTGGGTACTGAATATCATGGTATGAACAACTGTGTAGCAGTCTACAACGTGTAGGGAATGGCAGCTCGGCGGAATACTAGGATGTTGCCCATGGCTCGCACCGTGTCAGGTATAATTATGGTTCCATAACAGGCAACGACGAGATTTCTGGCTGTTGGTTGTTGTAGGCCCAGACTGCGCTGAAGGCGAGTTGCTCCGCAGTTGCAAACGAACAGTGCCTGCAGAGTAGGACTGGCACGGTTATGAACGCACCGCCATACCAGCACGAGCAATTCCTGGCGATATACCTCGTCCAGGCGATAAACAGAGAGCCTCTCCAAGAGGCCACTGGCCCTGGTAAATCGTGGTCGTCCGAACACCGCCCTTGCCGCGCGGTTTTGGGCTACCTGTAAGCGGTTTAGCTGGTTGTGGGTCAAGCCGGAGCCATAATTATGCTGACGATCCATATATCAAATCCGGCATGATGACAGATAGGAAGTACTTGCTTCGACTAGCTAGAGTGAGGCAGTGTCGCGCTCGCCACAGACTACGGATCTTCCTAGCAGTGCGTGAGATGCACCGGTCAACTTGCAGTTGCCAGGCCATTCGTTCATCGATCAAGACGCCGAGGTATTTCGCACTGGTGGTGTGCGGAAGGACATCATCTCGACATCGTACAACCACGTCCGGCTGCTGGTAAAAACCAATACATGCTCTTATTTGCATTTAATACAAGACCACTAGCGTCCAGCCAACTTGAGAGGGAGGTAACCGCCGAGCTGAGCGCATCAGACACCTCTTGCGCTGTCCGTCTTGCACATGTCAGGGCGATGTCATCCGCAAACTGCAAGGATGATGCCGGCGCAGATTCAGAAGGGACATCTCTGGGAGAACAGCATGGGTCCTAATACAGAGCCCTGCGGCACACCACAAGTGCACGGTACAGTTCTGCCCAGTCGGGAGCCCATACGAACGCGTTGATGGCGCCCAGACAGATAGTCCCGAAACCATTTCAGGGCTGTGCCGGAGATACTGATGCTGAACAAGTCCTGGATGAGGGTGGCATGCTTCACCTTGTCAAAGGCTTTACTCATATCTAACAGGCATGTTGCTACAACAGAACTATTGTCTCGAGCTTGGAGGACGGTGTCCGAGAGCAGTGCCAGCGCATCTTCGGTCGAGTTTCCAGGGCGGAATGCAAACTGGGTGCTAGGGAGAGCTGGGTCGACGAAGTCAACCAACTTGTGCTGGTTTATAAGAAGAAGAGAGGACCAAGGAGCTACTAGTTTAATACGCTATGCTTTCCACTAACACCTTCAGTTACTTTACAATCAGCTCATGTGATAACATTGCACGATACTGACCGACGGTACTGAGTCTGACGTTCTACACCTAACTGGCGATCAGCTCTAGCACGTCTTGGATGCGCACTCCAACAGCCTTCCAGCTTGGAAGTTACCGGTATTTCTATACCTTATAAGTAAAAGGAATTCTGGTGGACACACCCATTCCCATAGCTCTGCACAACCGAACCAGTTCCCTTATTTTACAACGTTTCGGTACTG